TAAACCCTAAACCCTCAATCCCCTTACACCCTAAACTCTTAAGCCCTGAACGCACAGGAGCCGGGGCTGAAGGACGATCTGCTCGCCGAGGCTCCACTCACCGCCACGGTGGTGACGGAGGATTCCAAGCCCGAAGTTGAAGGCCTCAGGGTTTAGGGTTTTGGGGGATTTGGGGATCTACTGGGTTGCTGTTAAGGAGACTTAATTTAAGTTACTATATTGGGGAAACCATATTAAGTATTATTTAGACCCATTATGGTAACTTAATTCAAGTGCCTTTTCAGCAACCCAGGTTAGGGGTTCGAGGGTTTAGGGCTTGGGGCTTTGGGGTTGAGGGGGTTGCGGGTTTAGATTTTAGACGCTTAGGGACTTGGGGAGCCCAGACGTCCCTGACCCGAGCCCCTGAGCTAGGGCTTGCAACGTTGGGTTTGGAGGAATGCCAGCGTCAAGTTGAGGGAGCCTTGGGGAACTTTACTGGTGAATTCCCCGTAGACACCTCTCACTGTAATCCCTGCCTAAGCAAGCTGGGTGGGAATTTTGGGTTCAGGGATTTAGGGTTTAGTCTAAGTGTTTGGGGCAAGGGCACGTTTAAAGGGAATACAGGGGGTACAGGGGAGATGTAGGGGCATATTGGGGATTAGGGGAGGGATGGAAAAGAACATGGAAGCGACTCTTTTGGCTATAAGGTTAGTGTTTGGGTAGTAGGGCAGGGACATCAGAAACATAAGGGAGAATCCAATTGACAAGAAAATGGACAATGAGATGGGCCCTGGGATTATTCAGGGTTTGTAGGGTTGATATTGAATTCCCGCATGACCCTAAGTCTCTTTTGGCCAGTGTCATCGATATGAGCCATCACCTCTATTGTCAACTTCATATCATCTGGAAGAACCCATGCAGAGTTGAAATTCATGAAAAGAGGCGAAGTATCAACGGGGATCTGGGCTGGCAGGTCAGACCCTCTCAGACCAGCTTTCCGAAAGCGGTAGCGATGTGGCCGCTTGGCAAGCTAGGATTCTTGATGCCGGGCATGGGTGGGACTCAAGGACATCTGTACATCAAGAAGGGTCACCTTCGGGTTCAGACTGACGGAGGCGCAAGGTGCAAGTTCTTGTGTGGGAGCAACATCACCGGATGGCACGTTCAATAGAACATCAGGCCGTGCTCGTTTGTGCCCGTGAGAGTGAGAAAGCGCCCCGTCGTAAGCTGGATGGAAGTAGACAAGTAAACGCACACATTGCGATGCCTTTTGGATCCTGGGAACTCCTTGCGAAGGATGCCAGGCCCTCCTCAGTGCATTGGAGCTGCGGACAAATCGATCCCAAAGAAAGACCAGCCGGGAAAGAAATCGGGCATGCTGCGTTTGAGGTCATCGAGGGTCACGACGATGGAAGCATAGTGTCCGATAGATCGGACATTAGCTGTAGCCCCTCGGCGCAATGTGCTGGGCATTGCGGGGATTGTCCGTCAGGATTTATAGTTGCAGCTGGCGTGTTTTCCCTCCTCTTGCAGCCAAGCCCCTTCCACTGGTGCAGTGCCAGAACGGAAAAAATAGCGGACACTATTGTGAGAGGCTTGACTCCGTTCCGCTCCCGAGCATTACCTATGAAATCGGACACGTAATTTTGGATGTTATGTGTTGGATAGAGGATCAGCCGGAGAAGTATAGAGTTCAAGAACTGTCTAATGTTGTTACGGAGCAGCAAGGAAGAGCTGAAGATTGCCGAATACCTTCAGTCGTGCGGTCTGGCGGTCAACCTTTAAGTAAGTCTCAACGCGCAGGCTTGAATCATGACTGGCAAGCAGTTCAGAGAATACATGTGCCGGGTTCCTCAACTTTGCACTTCTCCCTCATCAGCTGGCTGATGTTCCAGACTTTGGTTCCCCCCTCCCTAGATCAGTTGACTTGAGGTGATGTCGTCATCGATGGAGGCCAGCTGAATGCCTGTAATGCAGGAGCAGGGAAAGCAGACAAAGAACAAACCACCTCAACCCGGTACATTGGGATAACACTCAGCGGGAGTATGTAGCAGGTGAGCGTCCATGCATTCAATTTTGACGGACCCACAATTAAGGCAGGCTTGAACTTTAGAAAAACCTGGAGCTGTATAAGGTCCTACAACAGCCGAAACTCCCCATGAATAGGACCTGAGGCAGTTGGATTCCGGCCAATCCCTAAGCCCACAAGCCCTGAGAAGCTACAAGCTCTGAAGCCTTTGGTCTTAGCCCCAGTGCCCTCACCCTAAAGGCCCTGAACTAAATTCGTCTGCTGCTAGGGAATTTAAATTGATTTTCCAGTTGGAGGGAAACTTTATATCCTTTCAATTCCTGAGCAGCAACCCTCTTCAATCTCAAAGCCTGCCAGAACTTTCCGATACCTCTCCCGTGTCTTCGCCCTCAAAGCGTAACCGACGTGGGGCAGAGCGCAAGAAGAAGGAACGCTCCGCTGGGGGCCCAGAGTTAGGGCAGAGGGTTCCAGGGTTTAGGGCTGTAGGGTTTAGGGAGTTTCAGGTTTAGAGCTTAAGTAGTCAGTCAGTTTATTGTTGATAAGATGACACCTTTACAGTCGTGGCAAGGAGAGCAAAGCAGGCCGTAGTGGGCAGGCGCGCTCATCTCTCAGAAGGCAAACCCCTAACTCCTCCCCAAACGCGCAGCGTCTTAGCCCCAAACCCTAAGCCTTAGACCCTAAACCCCGAGCCTCAAGACCCTAAACCCTAAACCGCAAGAGTTGCCCAAGGAACCCAAGGGCATGATCCTGGGAGCAGGACGTTGAAGGGATGCGGCTGCAGTCTGGATTCTTAACGGTTGAGAGCTGTTAGGGTTCGGGTTTAGGGTTTGGGGCTTGGGTGTATGGCTGTAGGATGTAGATATACTGGTGTTGTACTCATGGATTAAAATCTATTCGTTCGCGCGCAGCGTTGTGATGGTAATGATTGGAGCCTCAGTACAGATTGCAAGTGTCATTTCCACCCGGGTACCCTTCTTCCTCTTTTGTATCCTAGGCTGCAATGAAAACCCGGTCGGTGCTCCCCTAAACCCTAAACCCTAAACTATAGGTCCGTTTGAGCCCTAGGACCTGCTCACTAAAACTAAACAAACATAGACTTTGAAGCCCAATGCATACAAGCAAAACTCGAAAGCCTAACCCCCCAATTTCTTATCTAGAGCCAACAACCTCAAACCCTGGCCCTAAGCCCTAAACCCATAGAGAACACCCTATCTCTTCACCCTAAAGCAGTTTCCATTTTCTTTTCCATGACCCCTACAATACCCCTAAATGGTAGTTTCCCGAAATAAGGGGACCCCAATATAGACCCCCAAATATTGTAGTCCTTATTATGGGGACCTCCAAAAAGGTACCCCTAATTTTGGGAAACCCTAATCCCTATAATCCCCTCTATATCCTCAGTTTCCATTTCATTTTCCATTTTCTTTTCCATTTGATTCTCCCTGAACCCTAAAACTTAAACCCTAAACCCTAAACCCCAAATAACCCCAAGCCCGAAACACCTTATACTTCAGTCGTGAGCCGTTGGGAACGGCTAGGAGACGAGGAGGATGGAACCGTCATCTCGGGAGCCCTAGGCGAAGCGGTGTGGGTTAACGGGTTTAGGGCTTAGGGTTTAGGGGTTTAGGGTTTGGGGGTTTAGGGATTTAGGGTTTAGGATTTAGGGTTTGGGTTTAGGGTTTAGAGTTTTGTGTTTAGGGTTTAGAGTTTTGTGTTTAGGGCTTAGGGTTTAGGGCTTTGGATTTTTACGGCTTTGGGATAAGGGCTAGGGGTTTGAGGGCTAAGGGTTTAGTGTCCAGGGTTCACAATTTTTGGGGCTTCCTCGTCACCCAAGTTATACGCAGGATATTGCCCAGAGTCCCATAGAGTTGGAATGATCACGACCGCCAGTTGGATCAATGACATATGTGTTTAATGGAATGCCAACGTAGGAGGGTTACGGAGTATGTAGAGATGTTCTGAGAACACTTGAGGGATAAGATCGGAATTCTAGGTCGTGCCGTAGGGTTTCTGAGTTCTGTATAGTTTAGGTCTGCTTTTAAAGTACTTTCGGTGTTGCAGAGGTTTTTGTTTTTGCCAAGTGACTTTTCGAGAGCCGTCAGTTTTGCCGAAGTGCAACATTAGTTCGAATGATGAGATAAGCTTGCTCCAATCCCCATGCCAGGTGTTGCATGTGAGGCTCTACCAGGGCGGGGGCGCTTCACTACTTGGTTACGTTGCGGTTTACAGACGGGAGTTATTGATCTGGGTACTTGCAAAAGCCGCGTCCAGCTTAGGGCTGTCTTCGTTGACTGTCAAATTACAAGTCTTACTTTGTGTGTGTGTGCACATACATCTAGCTAGATAGGTATGCACATAGGCGGGCCCTCTGCGATGGATAAGCCCACGTTCTTGTCTAAGTTCAGTTCCCTTCGTGAGCAACTGTGGTACTGGCGCCCTCAGGCATCAACATCGACAACCCAGGCAAAATTGCCGACTTCTACGACCTTGGTAGGTCGATAGGCCTGGCTTGCTTTCCTCCGGATGGGAACAACTTCTGAAAGTATATATTCAGGCCCAAGAATAGTCTGGATCTTGACGAGGGCGGGCGAACGGGATCTAGATCTTGTGGTTTAGTGCCTGCAGTCATTGCTTTTTCTGTAGCCGCAAGCTCGGGTGGTAAAAGCTGCGAGTAGCTGCAGATGCCTGAATGACGGCTGTTGCCGCAAAGGGTCCTTCAGTTCCCGTAAGCTGGACAAGTCCAACTTCCACAGAGCAGCAGGCACAGAATTCGTGATGAAATTGGAACCAGAGCTCAAGGCCCCAATGCGTTTATGCCTGCGCGGTGAGCGCGAACGGGGCTCGTCCAAAGCCTACCGGCACATTGCTCTTTTTCCTGTTGAAGCCTTGGAGATCAGAAACAAGCCCTAAATCGTACAACCCTAAGCCAAACTCTAGACCCTTGGGATCCCAGATCCTTGTTTCTGGGCCGGAAACTGAAAGCAAACAAGAACCCCCCAATGACCCAAAGGACGTTGGCCAGAATTGTAAACCCCGAATCCTGTGTAAGCGCATCTGACCAGAAGTTATATCCCTTGAGTTATGCTTCCCTATAAGGCCTAATAAAATCCCCTGCAACCCAAAGCTCTGAACAGGAGAAGGCTCCTTCGGAGCAGTTTTCAAGGCGACCGTGCGCGCCACGGACGCCGTTCGTGCAGTAAAGCGCATCCCGCTGCCGAAATCAGGCGTCGTGTAGGGTCTTGGGGTTTAGGGGTTAGGATTTGGGGTTCCTGGTTTTGGATTTTCCGGTCTTGATGCCAAGGGCTTTGGGGTTTTGGGTTGCATGCTATGTTCCGTGGCTGCGCCCTAGGGTACTCGTACAGGTCCATCCATCTACAATCCCAACATGCTCTACCCAGCCCCTGCCGTGAAGCCTAAACCTAAACCCTGAATGTGACTTGAGAGTAAGACCCCTACTGAGCCAAAGATCGCTCTCCTAGCTGCTGCCGGCACAGAAAAGCTGCTGTGAAGAGGCGATTAAAAAAGCGCCTAAGCCCTGAAACCTAAACGAGGTACGCCAGTAGTACCCTTTTTCCCTTCTTATTTTGCCGTCTCCCGATTCAAGCTGAACATGGGAAAAAGGGTACCCTTGTCATGAAGGGGTTAATGGGGAACCTAGTAAAACTTAAGCCAGCAAACCTTGAGCCCTGACTAAATCCCTAAACGCCAAACCCCAAACCCTAAACCCTATAAACCCTAAAGCCCAACCCTCCGAACCCCTTGCATTTCACTATATAACCCCTAAAAATCCCTATATAATCAATAACCCATTATGATAGTTGCCACTTTCTTTTCCATAATCCCTATATAGCCCCAATATATATACCCGACAATCCCTATATAACCCTATATAAACCCTATAGTTTCCATTTTCTTTTCCATTATCCCTCTATTGCCCCTGAACCCTAGTACCCGACAACCCCCAAAGCCCCAAATTACATCCCTACATTCCCCTAGTTTCCATGTCATTTTCCACTTTCTTTTCAGGCTGATGTTCCAAAAAGGGGGATAGCAGTAATCCTGAACCCTAAACCCTAAAGCCAAAACCGTAATATGGTAGTTTCTATTTTCTTTTCCATCATCCTTATAATAACCAGAAAATACCATGACAGAATGCAGGCCGGGACCGCGAGCTACGCTTGGACTTCTTGAAGCAGGCGGTCGGAATTTCTGTTCGGTACCCATATTATGATTATTATTGCGGGTTCTATAGGGGATTATATAGGCTTTAGGGTTTAGGCTTGGTTTAGGGTTTAGGATTTAGGGTTTAATGTCTAAACTCCTTAAAGGGGGTTTATATAGGGGATTATATAGGGGAGCATTAGACGTGTCATTGAGGGGATGCTAGGAGGTTAAACCATGGCTCATATGTTGGAGACTTTTTTCTTATCAAGAGGTTCTTCAGGTGATGCACAACTGCAACTTCACCGCTGTCCTCCTGCCAAGTGAGCCGCCGATTCGTGCGAAGTTGTCGGGTCTTTGAATGTTTGAGTCCCTGACTCTGTTCCCCAGACACGTGACTTCATTCTTTAATGGGAGATCTTAGATCCCCCAACCGGAGCCGTGAACGCAACCGACCTCGAGAAGTCCAAGCCGCCCAAAACATCCATGCAGGAGATCCGTATCACTAAGATGATGGATCATCCGCAGCTTGTTTGAAATTAGGGTGAGTGCTAATCAGGGCCCAGGACATTGACACTTCAATGTTGAGGCCTTTCCTCTATGGCAGAGTGAGTGGGAGCACTTACATCAACTGAGTTGCCACTGTTGGAAGCGCTAAAAGGCAAATGGGGGATTGTCAACATTATGGTCCCTTTT